GACGTGAAGCACGGCGGTGGCAGCATGTAGAGAAATCCTGGAGGACAACCTGATGCAGTCTGCAGGAGAGCTGAGACTTGGAGAAGACTTGTTCTCCATCAATGAGCCGAAGCAAACAGCCAAAGCTCCACAGAGATGGTTTACAGAAACTGCAGCGGTGCAGCTACTAAATATTGACCTGAAGGGAGTGAATACTTGTTTAATCCTTCATTTCACCTTTCATATTTTAATTAACTGACATTACTTTGAAGAAATCTGTTTTCACTTTGACATGAACGAGACTTTCTTTGTAAATTCTTATAAAAAAAAATCCAGATTAAATTTAACTTTGAAAAGCAATAAAAGTGAAATACATGTGAGGGGGTGAATCAGTGTCAAAGCAGGTCAACGTGATCATCTGCAGCGTCTTGATGCCTTCTGTCCAGTGAGTGATAAACACAGAGGATGTCAGTGATTTTGTATTTAGGTTTGGTCAGAAGCAACCAATTAGCTAGAAAGCCTCGTTACAGGTCACATGTTGTAGCGACACCGGAGAATCAGCGCCTCACTGAGACATCAATAATCGCCGCTTTCATGCTGATGAAGATTAACCGGAGTCGCATCATATGGACAGAACACATGCACATTAGGAAGCCGCTGCTCCGAGTCCTCCGCTCCGAATCGCCGAAAATCAAATTGAACAAAATGAACGGATTCATCACGGATGTCAGCATCTGCAAACACACGAGCTGCGACACGTGTTGCTGAATCCACCTTCAGACGCTGACCGTGTGCGGCTTCATGACGTCTCAGAGGTGCAGCGGACACACGGATCCGGGCAAACGGGCAGGTCTGAGCGGAGACGGAGGATCAACAAGCCCTTCAGCCCTCCACGGATAATGTGATCTCCTCCTCCTCCTCGCATCGCACACACTCCAGGATTCAGACTATAGAGTGTCGGTCGCTACTCTTATGAGCACTCACATCAAGCCCGCGGTCAGGATTATGGTCAGTTGTGCTCGGACGATTAAATTAGACCGGTGCTCTGAAGCGGCCCAATAAAGCAGCGAGAGAGTGTGGACAGTCCATCTTCTCCAATTATAAGGCTAACACCTGCCCTCCCTCAGGAGCAGCCGGCCTTCGTCTGCGAGCCTCTCTCGCTGTGTCTTTCATGATCACAGATCCAGTCTAACGCCTCCCATTCTTAATACTCGTCCTCCTGAAACCCTCCGTCGGTCCGTGCAGGCCTCGTTCAGCGTGAGGCGTTTAACACTGTGTTGCAGTCGAACTAATGGCTGCGTTGTTTTCACCATAAATCCAGATGATTCCACTCGTGCACCGTTTGCTCGTGATGGGGAAGGAAAGGAAGCACCTTCCTTCTGGGGTTTTCATTTCAAATCAACAGCAGGGAGGTGTTTTCATATCCTGTAACTTTTTAATGAAGCCATCCAACAACGTGGCCATGACTGGATGTTCATGTTAGCACGCAGAGCTAGTGAGAGAGTTTAGCAGCAACAAGCACCATGACAGAGACTCATGTGAACCTTCATGACCTCCAACCAGAGCTTCTGTGCTCAAAATAAGATGGCATGATTTGCAGCACAAATGATGTGCGTATAAATAAAACTAATACATTAACCTTTCATTTAAAGTTGTTTGACGCAAAAAAGGAACAGAAGAGAAACATGAACAACAACCAAACCAACACAGCACGCTCAATGTTTGGCAGGTTTTGGAAGTTTAGTGAGTTTACGCTGGAGAAATAACTAAATAAAGTCAAAACCCAAACACAATGTGGGTCAATCCATCAGCCAAAACTGAAAAAGTTCCCACCTGACTGCCTCAGAATCAGCTGGTTTTCTTTGTGCAATGATTTCAGTATATGTTTGAGGCCATGTGGTGACCAAAGGAGGCATCACCCAGATGTTTATCTACCAACAGGCACCATGACAAAGACTCATGTGACGCTTCAAGCCCTCCAACCAGAACTTAAGCTGGGAGTAGCATATATAGCAGAGTCACCTTTGCAGCCAATATCATCCATCCATCATCTCTACACCTTAATCCTCACCAGGGTCGTGGGGGGCTGGAGTCTATCCCAGCTGACTCAGGGTGAAGGCAGGTTCACCTGGACAGGTAACCAGTCTATCACAGGGCTACACTTAGAGACAGACAACCAAGCACACTCACATTCACACCTACGGACAATTTACAATCACCAATTAACCTCAGCATGTTTCTGGACTGTGGGAGGAAGCCGGAGAACCCGGAGAGAACCCACGCTGCACGGGGAGAACATGGAGACTCCACGCAGAAAGATCCCGGGTGTCCTCACGAGAACCACCGACCTTCTAGCTGTGATGCTAACGATGCTAACCACTGAGCCACCTTACAGTCGAGCCCAAATCATGTGTCCATGAATTTAAAAAAAAAAAAAAGCTCAAAAAACTGAAACGTAAGTCGTCACTGTCCCAATGCATGCAAACTGTAAAGTACTCACTGATTAACCACCAACACATACCGAGGAGATAAGAGGCACTTTTAAAAGCTGCACTTTTTACATATCAATAAAGATCAATAAAGTTTTCTGTTCTGTACATTCTGTCGGTAAAACCTAAATCACACGAGCTTTATTGACCCTCTTGCACAAATTCCATATTTTTCAGTTTCCTCCTTTCAGCGTTGAGCATAATTCCTCTAAAAGCGACTATTCTTAGACGGCTTTGTGTGTTTTTGACACCAGTGTTCTGACTGCAGAAGCCGTCTCCATGGAAAACTGGTTTCAGGTTTTGTTGGCTCTGCACAGATTCACACACGGTTTTCATGCAACGCGTCCACGTGCGACCGTT